AAAGAGAGGGTTCATTCTTCCTCTCCTCCTGCTACTACCTAGTCCCATTTCAAGGGGGCGTTGCTAAAAGCAGTGCAATAGGCTGCTTACCTGTTTGCTTTCAAGTTTCTCAGCCTGGCTTCCAAATCGTTGAGTAGATTTATCTTTTTGCAGCACTGTGAGCAGTAAACATCCAGTAACTCGCTGTTATAAACATGCCTCATTTTTCGGGGTGTTTGGCCAGCACTGTTTGCAGGAAAGGAGAGATGTTACTGGCTATAGTAACCAACTCACAACAGATTTTTTCCTCCTGACTGCATGTCTGTGTGTCAGAATCACAGACAAGGAACTTGGGGAAGCACTTCTAACTGCGGTTCTTTTAACTCAGAGGTGATGACAGAGAATGCTAGTCATAGGGCAAGTCTACCTGTCTGAGTTGAGGCTTTATAGAGCACATGTTCTGGGTGTCAGTGAAAAGAATCAGTTTGGGTGACTGGAAGAATAGCACAAGGTATACAGAGTCCATGTGATCCATGTAGCAAAAGCAGCCACATCAGTATGTTCCACCTCAGCAATATCCCCCTCTTATCTTGCCCATCTTCCCACTAGAGCTTGGCATGCAACCTGAAAAGTCTCTTCTCCAAGAGAAAGACAGCAAGATGAAAACCAGAGCAGTCTGGTAAGAAGTAGTCACACAAACCCCCTCAGATGGTAGGATGGAAGGAACCCTAGAATGAAGAGGAAGGGAGAGCAGACGTGGGTCTAAAGAAGAGGTAACAGCAGCTCTTGGCATGATAAACAGAAAATAAACTCAAATAAAAGAGAGCAGTCATGGCATGAAGTGCACAGAGTCCCGGGAATGGGAATGGAAAGGGCTGCATAAACCTGAGGAAATAGGGGATGAAAGACACAAGTCATCATCACGAAGGGGTAGTGGAGAGGGGTGCTGGCTCTGCATGCATGACAGAGGTGGCAAGGTTGTATTGCAGAAGTGCTTGAAACAGAGGATAGCATATGGGGATTGCATGAAGAATGGGGATGCAGAGAGCTTGTCCTCTGTTAGCAATGAAGCACAAGACCTTCACGTGCTATTGATCCAAGCAGACCAATCCTAGAGCATCTTCATGCTCAACACTTCCCAAAACCTGCTCGCCCATTCCCTTGCTTGGGGATTTTAAAATCAGCAGCTGACTTGGTCACAGGACGTAAGAGCTACAGAGGCTGAGGTCACATCCAGGACACCGATGGGCTGTAGAGGTGTTTCCAGCTCCTAACAGACAGCAGCTATTTGCTTATGTTCTCCAAGATGTTCAGTGTCAATATGGATGCTTGTTTCAAACAACCCCCTGTCTGTATACAGCACTTCACCTTACAGGTTAGTGCTAAGGATTTGTAGTATCAGAACACTGAAGAGGAGCAGCTCTCTTGCAGGTCCTCTCTCCACTGTATCAGGGCTGGTACATAGTGCTAAGCTGGTTTCCAGCTTGCAGCAGGTAACTTCCAATACTAGCCCCTAACTATGAAATCTGCTGTCTGCAATAGAAAGAAATCTCTACATGCAAAACAGCCCAGTTATTTCAACAGAACCCAACAGAAGTTATCAGAAACAACATACTTGCTATAGCTCTTATTATTAAATGCAGTCTGTCAATTGCAGGGCAGAATACGAACTGATAACATTTTGCTTTTAAGGTGAGTCTATGTAACCAGTGTAAACTCTGGTATGGTCACCCATACTCAGAAAAGAACAAAATTGAAAAATTCTTTGTTAATGAATAAGGAGCAACCTGGAAGATACAGATGAGCCAAGGTCAGAGTAGGCGTTGGTTCTGGTCTCATCATCAGGGCATGGGCTACTGGGAGTAAAATCCACATCATCTCCTTCCCCATAGTCTTCAAACTGTTCTTCATTACTGATCAGAGAGGCGGTGGAATAAGTTGAGAGGTCAGATGCTGCAGAAGGGTTGTGAGGACTTGACCTGAAACAAGAGGTCAAAACATCTCGAAGGCCAACTTTGATAGCATCTCACCTCACATGGAATCTTCCACCTTTACAGCTTGTTCCCTCAGTTGAAGTTATAACCCACTTACTTTGTGCTAAAAAACTGAAGTGCTAAACACATCAGATGTGCATTTGACATAGTGCCTTGAAAGACAAGAGCATGAGAATCTACAAACAAGCTACCTGTAAGATGAGTTTGGATCAACACAAACCATTTCACTTTAAAGAGCACACCTTGACAATCCTCAGCCATCGTTTCCACATGGTGGTGAAGACTGCTGCTTATGAGACTTCTGCTCTGAATGCAGGAACTGTGCAGACAACTCTGAAATGCATGGGAGTGAGAGGAACACATGCAAGACAGAGTCTGTCGCTCTATTCCACAATCAGAGTTTCCCAGTAATCCCCATAAACCCTCTCCCACAGCCCATGAGCTCCAGCCACTCTCTTGTGTGGCCAGAAACAAACTTCAGCTCACCATGTGCCAGAGAGTCATGAATGCTACAGATGTGACCTAATGGAGGCCGAGTTCTTTCCCTTCCTTCCATCATGACAAAATATGTCTTTCAGAGGAGATATGGACCATGAGAAAAGCGTGCTTTACTACCAGAGAAGTACCTAAGATAATGCCAAACGGGTAGGGAATGGCAGGACCCTGTGACCTCCAAGAAAGCAGACATATAGGCAAACAGATCAGCAGAGCCAGGCACCACAGGAAAGCAGCTGGCAGAGTAGTTTTGAGCACATCACATCTCATACAATGGAGCATGTTTGCTGCAGAGGGTACAGGGTGGTTCTCCTGCCCAGAGTCCAGACCACCCTGCAGTCATGCTGTGTGCTATGTTGCAGAGGCAGATATTTTACACAGGTTTGCTCAGCTCCCACCCCAGTAAGGCATTCAAACAGATGAGCCAGTAAATTCACATACAAGTTCTTATAAACAAACTTCTCCCTACAGAAAATGTGCATCTAAGGCCCAAAATACGTGCTCCGCTTGTGAAACCCTGGAGTTGCTCGGCATGTTACTGTTCCTACTACAAAGCAGAATCCAGCGCCTCTCTGCAATACAGACAAGGCACTGATTCAATCTGATGATGCTTTGTGCAGATTGGGTTAAGTTTTTCACTCCCTTTCCTTCAGTGCATGGTGCTCATATCACTCCACCGGCTGAGCTGTAGGGGACAGTAGCTCCCTGTTGTTCACCAGAAGCTCAACAATATTGCCTCCTAGGCTTCTTTTGAGTCTACCTTGAGCCTCTTACCCATGCCCTGCACTCTCAGAGACAGGGAGATTCCTCTTCCTGTAGTATTACACTTGTGAGCTGTAAACAAGAGATGCAACAGTGCTCCTCTGGCGGATGGTGCAAGCATTATTTGCATATCCCTTCTCTTCAAAAGCAATTAGTAGAAAAGGAAGCCTGCCAACGTTTCAGATGTATGCTCTTTTGTTTCTCTTGTTTTGACGAGATCCATTTATAACCCACAATTCACTTATCTAATTCATGTTAACAGAAATTAGGGCAAGTCGAGCCTGGCACACTATTAAAGGACAAAGATCATGAAGATAGGAATACTCATACTAGAAATACAAGGCTCCTTGGCTGGAGAAGGATTAGTGAGAAGCTCAACATATCACACTAATATCTACTCGTAAAGAGCTGCTGTGCCACAGACATATTGTGTATTGGTAAATTTTTGGGCAACTATAATCTGTGTAACTGCAACTGCTGTTTCCATCTCAGTGTTGTTACACCAAGTCAGTTTAGGAAGAAGCTCCTCGTAACACTTCCACCAGGGACGGAAGTAAATGACCAGTCCTCAGTTGGGATGATAATGTATACTTGTCCATAAAATCCACTCTCCAGCACAACAGCCCTGGAACACCAGCACTGGCCAACAGAATGGAGTTCAGCAGCCTTATCCCTCATGCATTGCCTGGCTAAGTTTCTCTTATGACAGTTATGCAAAATCACAACTGCTGGGCCCGCCTGGTAACGGTTGCTTAAAACTTTTAATTCATAAGCTTTGCCAAACTTTAATCTGCTTGGGTTCAAACAGTCCGCACTCAGGGTAGATCCTGAACTCATAAGCAAGCAACCTCAAGTTGGAAACTGTCTAGGAATCACAGCTGATTTCAAGGCAGTTGCTAAAAGCAGCTGTTTTTCCCCATTTTAGTGCTTTCTGAAGGAAGCTTTCCATTTGGGGGCTTTTTAAAAGCTATTTCCTGTTCTTCAGCACAGGACTTCACAGAGGGCTGAGACATCTGATACGCAACCCACCTGCTTCTTCAACAAGCAGGTATTGTGATTTGGCCAAGGCAAAAATCTCTATCGTGTCTTTTAACATAAAAGCACGAAGCTTCCCAAGTGCCTTCCCACAGATTTATCAAAGCTGAGGAGGCCTCAGAGGATAAACCAGGATCCATTAGGAGTAGCACAGTAGCTGTTAGTAGTTCCTTCCCCTCCTTGAAGGGGGGTACATGATGCACAATGCCTCCCCCTGGCCCCTCACAAGAGCCTGAATGGCACAGCTGGGAGGAAAGATAGGCATTTAAAACGCAGTATGTGTAAAAGTCAATTACCACAAGGATGGGTACTTTGAAGAAGTAAGGCAAGGAGACAAGTTTGATAAAGAGCTGATGAAAACTAGAATTATCTTGATAAAGTCTATGGGATTGCTTGGGCCAGTGGGAGAAGGACAGATCTGAGCTAGCTGAGAAATTCAGGAGGGGAGCAAGAATGAGGCTGCACAGAGAGCACACAGAGAGCACCTAAGGAGGCCCAGGAGAGAGAAGGAAGGCTGCCTTAGCAATGAAAGAAGCTCAAGAGGCACAGACCAAGATGACAAACCAAAAATAGGGAAGAGGCTTATAAAGCAAGCCCCAGCTGAGTTCTGTCCTGTAGTACTGCATTAACTCATCTCAAAGCAGGATTAAAGTTGGGTCCCTTTCCCTCAGTCTGCTTTTACTAACACCCCCCAGGTACATGCCTGGAAAGAGTCAAGTTAGGATTACGGAGACACTCTTGTGTTAACATCAAACTATGGTTACGCACGCAGATGCCAGGACACACCGTGTTAAACAGAAGTTACTGTTGTACACTAAAAGTTATGGAAAATTAGAAACACACAGAATTAACTTGGTACATGGAGTTAGAAAACAAATCTGCAGAGTCCACATCCTCAGATAACTAGATGTACAAAAGGCTAAAGCAGTATTCCCCATATTGCACTGCTTTGCAGGAAGTATTTGTTTTAATTCCAGCATATAAAGGTTATGGGAACACAGAAGATCCCAGTTTGGGGGATGCCAATGACCCCTTTTGGGAAGACCCAACACTTTCACTTCAACACACAACATGCAGGTCCCATGAGTGCTCACAGAACATGCCAGAAGGAGCCTAGGCTGAGAGTGTCTAAGCCACTTAGAGGACCTGGACTTCCGTCTCCCTTATATTCTAAATGGATATTAACTTTCTGAATCCTTCAGGCATCCTCAGCCTCCCCCAGTAGGGATTAGTCACATAAAGGCTCCTTCCTCCCTGGGCCTTTTGTACATGCGTCAAAACAGGGCTGCCACAGGGCAAAACCACCACTCACTTGTCACCGGGCAGAAACAAGCCACCAAGCACACCGTCCTTCTCCTCACTCCGACACACGTCAGAGGCCTCCGAGCTCTGGGCACTCTCAATAGCACTGTCCATGTCAGACTCATGATGAACCTCTTGCTGTGCTAGAGTCATTGCGTCGTCATCAGGAAAGAGCTCCAACTCGCTGTAGGCGCTTTCGCTGTCCAAGTAGGCACAGTCCTGGATTTCACCACCCTGGCAAAAGAAGAATTGGGAGGCAATTCAGATCATCCTTCAAGGCAGTTAAGAGGATACAGGAGAAGCAATAATCCACTCTCTGTATGCCCTGGTAAGCAAGAGTGATACTGAATAAAAGCCATAAAATAAAAAGGCTGACCTGCTTTACAAAGGCCAGTTCCCGCAAGCCCCCAGAGTAACTCACAACTTCCAAAAGGACTCAAATACTGTCTCTGACTTGGTGTCTCTCTTCTATAGAGAGGTATAAAATGCAGCCATTTTTGCCCTAATTTACTATCAAAATACACTTGAAGTAATAAATATCCTCAAAGGTTTTTTTATAAAAAGAGGCATCCTTTGTAAGAAGATAATCACAGGACTGACTCTCAGTGACTTCATGTATTAATATTATTGGTTAAACAAAAGCAGGCTGGATAAGTCTAAGAGTTTACTTTGAGTATGGGCAAAAATCTGTAAGCTGAAAAGAGTTGTCAGGCATTAAAACATTTATGGTAAGTCTTGGTGACTATCAGATATAAGAGAGAAGAAAAAAAAACGCTAAAGCCATCTGTTCCTGCTTCCTGGAACCACATGTCTTGATTAAGTATCAACTAAAATAAGAGGTCATTCTCATTACTGCAACACTTTGCTCTTGCTGTTCATCCCCTCCCTCCCCTTCTTGCCCCATGAACACTCATAATAGCCAAGACAAGCTATTTTCTATTTGCTTGTCCCTGAGGGACAAATAAAAATTCTTAACTGAAAAAAATAAGGCCCATGATTTTACTCTGCCCTTTGTTTGATATGTAGCAACACAATACTGCTTTGACAATTCCCACCCAGCGTGACACAAATGACTCCAGAGCAAGTCCTGCAAATGCTCTGACTCAGAGCTCCACTCTTTGCTCACCTGCAAGCTCCACAGCTATTGCCAGCAAGTCAAGACAATCATGCATTTAAGGCTTAGTTTACTGGCACAAGTAATGAAGCATTTCATTCATGGCTACACCTCACATTCAGGGCCAACTGTCATCCACCCAGCTCCTTCCCCAGGAATCCCAAGGCACTGGCAGCCTGGCACCACCACAAGCAGCAGCTGCCCTTCTGGCAAGCACATTCAGTGGGATGCTGTTACAGTGGCACTGCTTACAGCAGCACGGCTTCAAGTCAACCCACATAGCCTCTGGACACTCCTATGCTACAGCCACAGAGGCTTAAACTCCCTTTTTGTGGAACTAATGATGTTCTATGCTGATGACACCAAGTTTTCTCAGTGCCCTTTTCACCTCAACATGAGAGGAGTCAGCCAGAGGCTGCAGCTTTTTAACATTTGCAAAAACTGCTACTAGAAATGCAGGTCTCACCTTCCATTTTTTCCTGAAATACCAATTTATATGACTGTGAAAACTAGCATATGGAGATTCAGACCTAGTTACCTAATGAACACCCAAGCAGTCAAAAGGACAGCTTTACCTGCAGCGTTTGAATCTCTAGGTACATACTCAGAGCAGATATCTGGATGCTTTTATAGCTGAGCTCTCAACAGGTCTTCCAGTTACACAAGTAATATTTGGTAAGAAACTTCAGCACTATACAATAATAAGCACACACGCATATACTTTTTCACGCTTTTCTGTGTCAGCCTTATTAAGCCTGAAACTTTCCCTAGGTACCGCTCCAAGAGATGTCCAAAAGGATTTATTCTTGGTCTATGTCATGTAGTATTTATTGAAACCACACTGTCTCATGCAATCACATTTCTCATGCAATCACATTTCTAGCTCTGAGCCAGAGCACCTTCAGCATGGCCACAACCCCTCATCCACAGGGAGCTGGTGGTTTGGCAGGTCAGATCCCAGCCGTGGAGTCTGCCCTGGCCCTGCTATAGCCCCAGATTCTTCAGCACATCTTCTGACCTGCACCTTGCATCCTCACAAGCAAGCAGGGATAATGGCACTGTTGCTGTTTGCAAAGTACCTTGGGATCTATAAACAGGACGAGTAATAAGACCTTTTTAGTAGGTGTTGAAAAAGTAAAGATTGTTAAGAGCCATTAAGATGTTTCAGAAGTATCCAGGAGTGTTTGTTTATCTAACATTTCCCCAAAGTTTCCTCCTGTATGCTAAGCCCCACAGGCACAGAGCTCCTGTTTCTCTTACAAACTTTAATGCAATAAAGCCCTGATTGCTGTTATGGAATTGCACCAGCTGGTAAAAGTCTGATCCAGGAGGGGAAGAGAGGGACACAGAGCACACAGTGGATCCCTGAAGTGGGACTTCGCAAATCAAGGAAGGAAAGGAAGAAACAGATTTTGCAGAGCCCTACCTCCCAATTAGCAAGGTTTTTTCAGTGGTCTTGGAGAAGCCTCTGCTTAAGGAAGTTTTTACAGCAGGAAAATCTCACTGGTATTAAAGAAATTAACACAAGAAAGTAAAGGTCAAGAAGATCATGAAAGACTCCCTTTTTGTTCCCTGTAGGTAACGCCACACGTTTTCTTTTTCTAACAATAGCAGCCTAGATGCTCTTTAAAAAAAGTCCATTAGCAATTAAATGTGCAGTGTCATCTATAAAGGCTACAGGCTCACTTTTCCTTCCTGTCACTTTATGGCAATCTAACCTTCACGTATTTACTTCTATTAGAGTACTCACCTATAACTACAGCACAGACTGCACTGTACCCGTGACAGTCAGTACCATGTACTCTTTGTTGAAGTATAATTGTTCTGCTCCTAAACTTTCACTTTTAAGCTCCACAAAAAGGAAAAAAAAAAAGAAGAAAGAAACAAGCTTTTGGAGGCAATGACCCATCATAAGTCTGAACACCTGCTTTCCAGCTTCTGAAATGCCTCACTGCAAGACTTGGAACCCCTCCTGGAAGCTGGTCCTCCCTACTGTGGATTTCATCCTTGAGCTGGTGGGAGCTCAGGGCCTTATGGGGACTGGATAAATGAAGAATGTGGGCTAGCCAAGGTCCTTTGAGGAGCTCCCCCTCAGCTTCCTCCCAGCAGGGAAAGCAGGCACCATGCAGCATGCCACATCCCCGGCTGCCAGCCCCCCTCTCTCCACAAAGCTGGTGCCTACCCCGCAGACCTGCACAAAGTGGATGTTTATGAAGCACGTCTTAGCTGCTCTTCTGAGTACCTGGCAGCCAAATCACACTGAAGACCTCAGCTCTTTCAAAGCAAGCAGCACGAGAAACAATCTTGCCAGGGAGGCTCAGCTCCAGCAGCTGCATCAGTTGCTTATTCATGCTTTTAAGTGCTCAAGGTTCACCTACAATCAGCGCTAAAGATCACTGTTTCAGCAAGATGTACAGAAATTAGGACCGGTAACAGCCACTGTGCTGAAGCCTGCATGACTGTTTTCTGTGGGTAGGAACTACATGCTTGGCTCTTAAGCTTTAAGAGCTTAGGGGTGGGGAATCACTACCCTGCTAATAATTCCGTGTTTCTAGGCACGTGAATACCTCTGCTGTGCAGCACAGAAATCCTGTAAAGCATGGGACTTGGATATCACCACCAAGGTGTCTCTTCAGCTCCCCTGGTGAAACCAGCCTCCTGTGCAACTGTCACAATTACACATTTAATGAAAAGTTTTCCTTCTGCGGCCTAAATAACGAGTAGAAGAAAACAGACAAAGCACTCTTTAAAACTAATACAGGTTAAGAAAGCTACTACAAGTAGTCAGAATTGGGGCATGGCACTAGTAAACACTACGTAGGCATCCACACCTTACTGACTAAAGCTGTAAGACATTTGAGGCTGTAATCGTTCAGTGATCACAGTTTGTCACAGGACCACACTTTCAACAATGCCGTCTAGCACAAGCTGCTTATAGACCACACCTAAGGAAATCAAACTCCTAAAAAAAAAAAAAAAAAAAAAAAAGAAAAGGCTGATTGTACAGTTTAACCTCTCAAATTATTCCTTCATAGTTTAGGTATCTACAGTATTAATGTATCAAATTAGAGGTTGGCAAGAGCAAGTGTTATTCAGGTAGCTTTAAAAGAGCTAACCTGAGTTTAAACAGTATGTTGAAGATCAGAAGACACTTCTATCCTGAGTCATTTGTTTCCAGTGTACATGCCATTAGCTGAAACCAGTAAAAGAATGAGGTTCTGACAACCTGAATATGAATCCTGTGTTTCTCATTCTGCTAGGCAGTTCCCTTCTTTGTTGACTGAGTCAAAAGAGATGAAGTTGCTGCTTATGATCCTGGAAGATTCACATTAAAAAAAAAAGAACGTTGAAATACCACCAACACAATATAGCTGTGGGTAACTTTAAAGCAGTAAGTACCTTGCACTTTATCTAATCGGATGCTCAAGATAACTCCAAGTGCTTCACAGGCAGTCAGCCAGACGCTTGTATAGCAACTGTTGAATATTCAGCAACAGTTTGCTCTATAGAAGCACCTGCTGCCCAAAGATCCAAGGCCACTTCACAGAAACTAATGAATTCCCTTCCTCGAAAGAGGCAATTGTGTGGCCGCATTGAAGCCAGATGAGTAAGCACAAGCTGCCTTTGCACAGCCACCCCAAACAGAAGCAGTAGCAAGAAGACAGCAATTCCCATGGATTCCTTCTGATCTTTGTGGGGCAGGAAAGTGGTGTCAGCACTAGGTAGGTATGGGAATACAGCTCTGCCTTGCCCTGCAGTGACCTGGCCGGGCTTTCCCGGCTTGGAAGCCATCCCTAAAATCTGCACATAAAGCAGCTGAAAGCTAGTAACTTGGCTGACAGACAGGCTACATGACATGCCTACATCAATACATTCACGCTGAAGAGCAAGCCTAGTTAAAATTCGCTCCTATCACAGCCAAATCATCAGCACCCCTGACATTTAGACAGCCTCCCAGTATTCCAGAGGAGACAGGGAAGAAAAAAAGGATCGAAGTCTCCCACCTCTGGACAATTTGATTAGCAAGAGCTAGAACCATAAGAGACAACCAGAAACAAGAAATGCCACATGCACATCAGCTGTGACACTTCCCTCCCCAGGATCATGCCCCCAACC